CTGGTGGGGTCTGGGCCTAGGTAATGAAGGTCTGGACGGTCAGATTAGAATATGTACTGCAGATGTGAAGCCTCGAGATGACACGGCCCCTTAATCTTATCCGCCTCGCCTGTACGTGCCTGGGGGGAGACCTGAGGGGGAGTAGGGAGGTTAAGGAAGGGAGGAGACGTTATAAAGGGAGAGAGAGGGAGGGTGGGAGGGAGTAGATATAAAAGAGAGAGAGAGATTAGTGGAGGAGAGATTAGTGAAAGAGGAGGAGAGGTAAGAGAAGGAGAGACATGGATGTTACTTCTTCATATTGTGAGTATGGTGTCCCCTCTCTCTCTCTCTCTCTCTCTCTCTCTCTCTCTCTCTCTCTCTCTCTCTCTCTCTCTCGTAATCACATAAGATAATCTTCGTCATGTGTATTATAATAAACTATAATGTGTATGTATGTCAGTGTGATGTGTACGTGTGTGTGTGTGTCCGTGTGATGTGTACTTGTGTGTGTGTGTGTGTGTCCGTGTGATGTGTACTTGTACGTGTGTGTGCGTGTGTGTGTGTAGGCTGAGGTGTACACAAGAGAACATTACCATACTTACATCCAACACGGCATCAACTCATTTGCCTCCTGCCCCTCCCATACACCCTGTTTCCTCTCCCTCCTCTCCCACGTTCATCTCTCACATCTCCTTCCCTCCCATTATTCCCGCCTACATTCTTCTTTTTCTTCTTCTTCTTCTTCCATCCCTCCTCTCCCACGTTCGTCTTCTCCCACACTTCCTTCCCTCCCATTATTCCCTCCTTCTCCTCTCCCATATTCCCCCATGCTTTTATCAATTCCTACCTTTCCCCTTTCCCCGTTTTCTCTCCCCTCTTCCATTTTTTATCACACTTCTCCGTTTTCTCCCCTCCCCATTTCCTCCCTTCTCCATATTCTCCCCTCCCCCGTTTTCTCCTCTTCTCCGTTTTCTTCCCTATCCCGTTTTTTATCACACTCCGTTTTCTTCCATACACACACGTCGTTTTCTATGACAAGGGGCGACTCCCGTTAATTAGTTCCCTTAAAAAACTATCGCCATTATACTTAACTTAATTGTGTTGTAGGGAAGGGAAGGGTCTGTCTGTCTGTCTGTCTGTCTATGTCTGTGTGTCTGTCTGTGTGCTTTTCTGGCCGGTCTTTCTGTCTGTCTGTGCACATGTGTCTGTCTGTCTGTCTGTCTATCAGTGTTTGTGTCTTACGATCACTTCCTTTTCGTAAAATAAGTAAGTAAGCAACTAAGTAAGTAAGTAAGTAAGAATTAAAGTAAGGAAGTAAGATTTAAGTAAAGAGAGTGAGTAAGATTTTGTAGTAAAAGAAAGTAAGATTTAAAGTAAGAGCAGAGGGGGAAAGTTTGACGGTCAGGAGAGGTTGTGACTCCTTAACTTCCTGGAGTGAGAGGGAGTGAATGAGTGGGAGGGAGGGAGAGGGACTGAGTGGGAGGGAGGGAGAGGGACTGAATGGGAGGGAGGGAGAGGGACTGAGTGTAAGACTGTGGCTGGGAGGGAATGAATGAATGTGAGGAAGAGAAAGGGTGAGTGAGAGTGTAGGGAGGGGAGAGGGAGTGAGTGGGAGGGAGAGAGGGAGTGAATTGGAGTCTTGGGAAGGGGGGCGTTGGGATTGTAGAGAGGGGAGAGAAGGGGAGAGAGATAGAGGGGAGAATACTGTATTGTTTGTTTAGGTCCAATGCATTACCATTTTAGAGGTGGTGGTAGTGGTGGTGGTAGAGGTGGTGGTAGTGGATGGTGGTGGTAATAGTGGTAGTGGTAGTAGTAGTAATACTCGTACCACATAAACCACCCAATTAAACAAAGCTCATGTCATTTATAATGCATTAAACACATCCCTATACCAAGATGACCTCTGACCTGTCTTGTTACTGAATGATATCACCTCGTTTTGGTCCCTCGGTCAAAACACCTATTAGTGAGATATTTTGTTTACAGACGTATTAACACAAACACACACACACACACATACACACACACATACACACACACACACACACACACACACACACACACACACACACATACACACACACACACACACACACACACATACACACACACACACACACACACAGGCGATCGCAATTCCCCCGTTCATCGCTGACCATTATGAGTAACTAACTGCTAAACTACCTAACTACCGAATTGGGCTGTTAGGAACCTTTTGGCCCCATTAGTACAGCTGTAAGTAATTGAGCTTTCAGTAAACTTGCCTAACAATCCGACTACCGAATTGGGTCCCTCCTTCCCCCCACCCCCCCCTAACCCCCACCTTCACGGCACAACTTGGCCCATACAGTGCCACTCGGGCCAAGAACTTGTAATGTGCCGGCGTTGGACTTCGCCAGCACGGGCGAACACGACAAAAAGTTTGATTAGAAAAAGTGGCATTAACATATATTGTGTGTGTGTGTGTGTGTGTGTGTGTTTTGACATGCTCTACAACACTTAAGACTATAGCACTTTTCCACCACTTTACTACATTGACTATAACACTTTACCACCACTTTACTACATTGACTATAGCACTTTTCCACCACTTTTCCACCACTTTGTTACATTGACTATAGCACTTTACTACATTGACTATAGCACTTTACCACCACTTTACTACATTGACTATAGCACTTTTCCACCACTTTACCACCACTTTGTTACATTGACTATAGCACTTTTACCACCACTTTACTACATTGACTATAGCACTTTTCCACCACTTTTTTACTACATTGACTATAACACTTTACCACCACTTTACTACATTGACTATAGCACTTTTCCACCACTTTTCCACCACTTTGTTACATTGACTATAGCACTTTACTACATTGACTATAGCACTTTACCACCACTTTACTACATTGACTATAGCACTTTTCCACCACTTTACCACCACTTTGTTACATTGACTATAGCACTTTTCCACCACTTTACCACCACTTTACTACATTGACTATAGCGTTTTACCAACACATCAGAAAGGCCTCATTGCTCCACTCTCCTGAGCCTCGGAGAATACACCATCATTAATAGGTGCAATTAAGATGAGCCGTAGCGATAGAGGGGTCACGGAGTTAGCACATGCAAAATACACATAACTCAACCCGTGTTTAACTGTCGCGCTATTGGGGGGTGTGGGCGGGGGGTCGTGGGTGGAGGTGCATTGTGGGTGGGTGGGGAAGGGTTCGCTGTATGGTGGGGGTGGATTTCATACGTTACATTACATCCTCTGTAATTTATGGGTTTGTGGGAATGTCACACGTGTATTGTGCTCTGTAATTAATACATGGTTCTTGTATCTTCTTGTTAATGTGTTTTTGTTATTGTCTGCTGTTGTTGTCTGTTGTATGTTTGTTGTTATTGTATTTGTTATTTGTGTATTATTTTGTTGTTTATGTTGTTTTGTATTATTTCCGTCTCTCTCTCTCTCTCTCTCTCTCTCTCTCTCTCTCTCTCTCTCTCTCTCTCTCTCTCTCTCTCTCTCTCTCTCTCTCTCTCTCTCTCCTATGTTTAGTTATTACGATACTTCTTCCTCTGCATTTTATTTTATCTCTTGTTGCTTTTTTTTCATTATTCTTATTTCCTCACCTCTATTCTTCCTACGTCCCTATTTTTTTCATTTATCTTCTCTCTACATCCCCATTTCCTCATTATATCTTCCTACCCATTGAAATTACTCCCCTATTCACTCAAAACATCACTTTACTTCCCATTCTATCATCTCCCCATCCCCATTTCTCCCCCAATCACCCCAAAACATCACTTATCTCCCCAAATCTCTCTTGTTTATTTACGTCCTTTTAAAACACCTTTGCTTTACCCTCCCTACTCTCAGGCATCTCATCTCCATGTTCCAATAACGCGCACTTAGATGTCGACCCATAATACAGTCGCGTTTATCCTAAGTCCTTGTAAAACTTGGGGGTAAATCTCATGGCTTCCTGATTCACAGACCAAAAAAAAAGGTTCTTACGATAAAGTATTTCCTCTAAGTTGAAGATATTGGAATTTATCTTAACTGGTTGACTTACGATAAAACTGAGGAATACAATAATGGCGTCAAATTTATACTGAGACTGTAATTGGATCCTTTCACTTAGCATTAGTTAGGAGAGGAGATTATATTGTGGTTGAGGTCTACATACATACATACATACATACATACATACATACATACATACATACATATCAACTGATTACTCACGACAGGGGTATGGTGGGGATGAAGGATGGGGGGGTAGTGGGAGGTGAGAATTGATGGGAAGGAAGGGGAGGAGTGGGAAGGTAGGGAGGTGGGAGGGAGTTATAGGAAGGAAGGGAGGAATGATGGGGAGGTAGGGGAGTGATGGGGAGTTATAGGAAGGAAGGGGAGGAATGATGGGGAGGTAGGGAGTGATGGGGAGTTATAGGAAGGAAGGGGAGGAATGATGGGGAGGTAGGGGAGTGATGGGGAGTTATAGGAAGGAAAGGAGTGATGGGGGATAATGGGAAGCGAGGGAATGATGGGAAAGGTTGACTCAGGCTGCTCCTGGGAACATGAGGGCTGGCGCAGTTCTCTCCCTGACTCTTTAAAAACCTCCGTCAGGATTACCGGAAATGGCAAGTTGTTTATATAAAAGAAGGAACGTAATGCGTGTTGTGGGGGGTAGAAGAAGAGGGGAGAGGTAGGAGGAGGCGAGAAGGCTAGGAGAAGGTGGGGGTGAGGAGAGAGTGGGAGAGTAGGGAGGGAACGGGAAGGTAGGGTAGAAAGGGGGAGAGGGGATTGGAGAGGTGAGGAAAGATAGGGGAAGAAAGAAGGGGGATTGGAAAGAAAACTGGAACTACAGAAAATGGGAAATGAAAAGAAAACGGAGGCTCGAGGGAAAACGGAGACGCGACGATAGTTTAAGGGGAGACTGTTGTTAATGTCAGCACTCTATCTATCTATCTATCCATGTGTTCTAACCCTCACATTCTCTTGTTGCCTTCAGGTACGTTTGCCGAAGCCCTCGCCGCGCTCAAGCCCACCACAGGTAAACGACAAGCTTTCTTTTTAATTAAGCGTTCACCTCTTGTACGGTGTGTGTGTGTGTGTGTGTAGTCATGATAGTGATTGTTATGTGATAGTTTTGATGATAATGATTGTGATGATGATGATTGTTGTGATGATTGTAATGGTGGTGACGAAAATTATTTTGATGGTGGTAGTAATAATTGTGGTGATGTTGTTGGCGATGGTGGTGATGCAGATGATAGTAGTAGTAGTAGTAGTAGTAGTAGTAGTTGTAGTAATAGTAGTAGTAGTAGAAGTAGTAGTAAGGATGGTGGTAGGCGAGACTATAAAAATGTAGTAGGTAAAGAAAGAACAAAGGAGAACACAGTAAAGAGAGATAATAGAGAGAAGAGAGAGAGAGAGAGATGCTGGAAGACGAAGAGGAGGAGGAGGAGGCGGCGGCAAAGACGCTAATGTTGTTGTTATTAATCTTTCTTTGATACGCCTCCCCTTCCTTCCCTTTCCACCCCATGAGCAGAAAGGGTTAAAATCGTTCCCTCCTCCCCTCACCCCATCACCTTGGCAACACCTCCTTCCTTACACCCAATCCATCAAAAAATTACCCACCACCGGACTAACCCTATCCACTCCATCCACTTCATCCACTTCTTAATCCACCCTGAGAAAATGACCCACAAAACTAAATAAATTCAATACAATATCACCGTTTATTGAAGGTTAACAATAAAATAAAAAAAAACGTTTCTCAGGAGTTGTTGAAACGTTTTTGATAAGAAAGAAACGTCGAGGAGAAGTTATATGGCACCCTGGCACTGTTAACCCCCCCCCCCAACCCCCCCTTTCTCCACCTCCCTTCCTCCCTCCCTCCCTCCCACCCCGCCGGCCAGCCATCGCCTACGCCCCGATGCAACGCTCCCCCTGATTGGTTCGCGCCCGGGGGAGGTTAGTAAGATGAGATGAGATTGGCTAAAGCGCTTCATTAACGCTGATATGCCCTGGCGGCTGGCTAGGAGATAAATAGCCGCCGGTCAATACTTCTCTTAGGAAACGAAAATCTCTCTCTCTCTCTCTCTCAGTAAACAATTCCTGTGTTATAAGACGTGTCTGGGTATGGGTAGGTTAGGTTTCTGGGCTCGTCTCTGTCTGTGTGTTTATCTGAGGCGCTGTCTCTATGTGAACTGATTATATCCTCTTAGTAGACTTGGCAGTGTGTGAGTGTATGCTTTGTGTGTATGTATGTGTACGTGTTAGATGGGTGTGTGTGTGTGTAATGTTCCGTGTATGTTTTAGGTGTGTTTGTACTTGTATTTAAGTGTATGTATGTTGTATGTTCCGTAGGCAGATATACACATTAATGGAAATATATCTATGTATATTTTAAGATACGTTTTGGGGAAGTATATTATAAATAGTCACATATTGAAGTGTTTTACGGTAATTACAGCAGACAGACAGACAGACAGACGTAAGTATAGGCCTAGGAGGTGATTAAGAGGGGGGATGGAGGGGGGGGCGTGGGTGGCCAACTCGCGCCATCTATTGATCTAAGTCACCAGGAACCACCACCCCCCCTTACCCCCTCTCCCCCACCCACCATCACCCCCTTCCCCTCCCACCATTACCCCCTCCATCCCAAAACTACCCTGACTTGACCTTATTTTGACCCCCTACCCTCGCCTCGTCAACCCCTTCTCCTCTATCCCAAAACTACCCTGACCTCATTCATGCTCATTAACCCCATTCCCTGTTAATAGGTAGTTAAGTACACCCAATTGACGGTGGGCATCATCTTTAAGTTGACCTGTTAAGAGACCAAGAGCTGAGGAGGGAAATAAGAGAGTGAAATATGTTTACACTAGACGCATTGCTAGTGTTAGGTTAGGTCAATGTCAGGTCAGGTCAGGTCAGGTCAGGTCAGGTCAGGTTACTTGATAATTCGTGCAGTTAACTTGTCTCTTCTTCTTCTTCTTCTTCTTCTTCTTCTTCTTCTTAATCATTATCTCAGATGTTATTAGTATGCTTGTTGACGTAACAAAACTGGGCGGCAGGTAGTAAGCAGCCTTGTTTGTATGACATATACAGTATATATACTGTATATTTACGTTGTATAATTCATGTGTATCTATGTATGTATGTATGTATATGTATGTATGAGAGTGTGCATACACATATGTAACCCCCCGCCGGCACGGTGTTTGAGCCCCCATGAATATTCTACACCACCAAAATAGTGATTAATTCTGCGTCTGTGTGTTGAGAAGCTCGCGACCTGAATATGTAAACAAACTGCGCCGTGGAGAATCAAAATGGGTGGCTACTGCGCATGTCTCTCTCTCTCTCTCTCTCTAATGCTGTGTGTGTGTGTGAACAATTTGGCATTTTCTCTTCACAAGTTACAAATCTACCAAAGAAAACGCGACGATCATCCATCAAGGGAAAATGGGTCTAGCACAGTGACCAACCCTCCTCCACTCCATCATACATTATACATATATACCCAAAAGAAAACACACACACACACACACATACACACATACACCAACAATTATACATATTGTGAGGTTATCTATATGCCGAGGCCGACGGGTGTATAATAGAGATTGAAATTTATTGACTGTAATTTCTAGATCATCTGAGGTCAGGGCGGGGGGTCTCAAACACAGCCAAGCGGGGGTCCTGCTAGCCGGGGTTAGGTGGGGTGGTGGTAGGTACGGGGGGTAGAGCATTAATAGGGTGGATGAAACTTACTCTTGCTTATTATTCATGTATATTAAATTTCATATTCAATCTATTATTATTCTTATGGTGGCGGCGTGTGTGTGTGTGTGTGTGTGTGTGTGTGTGTATGTGTGTGTGTGTGTGTGTTTTTATGGCACGGACAGGAACGCAGTCAATAATATTTTTTCTCTCGTTTGCATATACACTCAAAGACATCACACACACACACACACACACACACATTTAATCGTTTCCAGGCAGTCCTCCCGGATAAGGTGTTCCCGTGTACAGGTACGATGACAAAACACCCCAATCATTTCCCCGGACACAGGTGTAGTCGTGTGTGTGTGTGTGTGTGTGTGTGTGTTTTAAGGTGTGTTTGAACCAGGAGATGTGTGTTTAAGGTCCTGTTGTATTCTGTGTAATAGTGTGCGTGTGTGTGTGTGTGGGTGGGTGTATGTGTGTGTGTGTGTGTGTGTTGTCTTTGTGTGTGTGTGTGTTTTAAATTCCTGTTTGTATATTTTAAAGTCATGTGAAGCTATCAGTACTCACCTTCTCCCCTTATAATACCCATCACCCCCCTTACCCTTTGAGGTAATTAGAGAGTTAATGAAAGAGGTGATTATAAAGGCAGTGTGGTCACCCCCTGGTTGTGTGGAGTAATGGAGTAGTAATTTATTGTACACACACCCACCCTCTCAATGTTTAATTATCAATAAGTAAGTCCTACTCTGTGTGTGTGTGTGTGTGTGTGTCTGTGTGTGTGTGTGTGTGTGTGATTAATTGTTAATAGGTAATTTCCATTCAGTATCTTGTGTAGGTAAATGTGTCGATGTGCGTGTGTGTGTGTGTTTGATTAGTAAGCAGTAGGTCCCAACCATCCCGGTATGTGTGTGTGTGTGTGTGTACAATAACGATAATACGATTAGTAGTAGTAGTAAAAGTAGAAACTAGTAGTAGTAGTAGTAGTAGTAGTAGTAGTAAACAGGCAGGCGTGGTGAAGGCGTGTGGTGGCGTGCCCGAGTAGAGAGGTATGATGACTTGAGGCGATGGTGGTGGTGGTGATGACAGTAGCCGCCTGATGGTGTGGGCGTGGCTACCTTCCTCCCCCTCCCCTCCTCCCCCACCACGCCATCCTCCAATCCTTATGTTCATTCTTCTCTCCTCCGCCTCCTCATCCTCTACATCTTCCTCCGGTCCAGTCCTCCTCTTCTTCCTCTCCTCCCAGGGAAGGTCGGACCAGCCGTGTGGAAGGTTGCATCGTGTGGTTATGTGGTAGAGTTGCGGTAGATGAAGTGTTGTGGCGCTGTGGTAGTGGTCATGTTCCTCTGTGGTGCAGGTCTTACGCCAATACCCGCTTCACTATACTCGTAGCAGCAGCAGCAGTGTTTACTACCGGTATTATTAGAACAGCTGATGAATGTTGCACCAACTGACGCCGTTGTTCACAAGGTACCGGTGCTGTTACTGGTACTGTACTGGTGTTGCTGTGAATTGAGCTACCGGTGGTACTTTTAGCTACTGTTGTAGTATTGGTAAGTGGCTTTGCGTGCTGCCAGCAGAGCTACCACTGCTACCGGGCGGGCTATCGGTGATGCTGCTACGGCCACTAGTGCTACCGGGTGGGCTACTGGTGGAGCTACCGGTGATGCTGCTACCACTAAGTGATGCTACCGGGTGTTACCTGTGCTTTCTCTACTAATAATGTCGCTACCGGGAGTGTTTTGGATGCTACCGGTGGAGTGACTACCGCTACCGGTGTTCCCGGTGTAGGTAGTGGTGTCGGCGGGCAGACATGTCCCGTGGTGGCTCAGGTGTCGGGCCGGGTAATACCTGTTATCACGTGTTGTACATCAGTAGCAACCCGCTCATTGTGGCCTGCTGCCGGGCCACTCCTGCTGACCAGGGCCGCTCCAAGTGGCCCACCTCCACCTCCCGGGACACTTGTTGGGCCTCAACACCCGGCCACACCTTCTTGTGTTAGTGTGTACAGCTCTGGGTGTGGTCAGTCCGTACCTTAGTCTTATCCAGGGGCGTTAAAGATGGCCTCTCCTGCCCCTACACCCATCACTCACTCCTTAAGAGACTAATTTCTACGCCATAAATGAGTGGTATAATCTGGTATTTGTAATGAGTCTTCTCTGTGTGGTCAGTATATCAAGAGGTTTGTAGTAACTCGCTGCTTCTCGCGTTGAAAATTTACGTTGGTACGGCTGGGCATTTTGGGGGCTGTAAGGTAATAACGTATTGTTTATCTCGGTGTTACGCAAGAGTGAACTCGACCCCAACTTCCGTGTTGCT